TCAACTGTAGCATCTCAAACAATAGCATCAAATGGTACGGCCCAGGGAGGAGAGGAGCATAATAGAAAGAGGCTTAATGTCTGTTGTCACCATGGAGAGAAAAATAGAGAAAGTAATTGTGTTGTACCAGGAGTCAAGCAATCCCATCAGCCACTGGGCAGACATGTCAAAGTCTAAAGACAGGGCTGAGAACTTGACTGGCATCAGCTTGATGGAACAAGGCCATAAAATGACCAGTGATCAGATGGCCTAGAAGGGAGGCGGGACTAACAGCTGATGTGGAGAAAGAAGCTGAGACACACGTTGACTTGGGGAAAAAAAAAAAAGAGAGAGAGGGAAAAAAAAAACCTAGATTGGAAATGATAAAAGTGAGTGATGTTGATAAATAAGCGTACAGCCAGTTTATCAGCAGCTGTCTGGCTTGGGGTTGCCGGCGGCAGAATCCAAGGCTGATAACCTCTGAGCCCCCGAGGCATGATGTTAGGGAGGAGGAGGGGGAAGTAAGGGGGATGCAGCTGCTGGGTCCTGGCTAGCGTGTAACCCCAAACAGGTTAGTTAATATTAATATGTCCATCAGTAGAAGCCATATGCTGCTATGTAGGAGAAAGTACGCATACTGTTGTGATTAGCTGAAGCGGTGCTAATCGCTCAGCAGGTAATACATACGTATTTGGATGAATGACAGGGTCAACTTTGGTTACTTTAGGTCAGGTCAGGTGATCATTACCATGGTAACATTGTAAGTTAACCCCTGTTTGCTGACATGCTTGCTAAGTCTGGCTAACACGTATTCATTGGTTAACATTTATTTATTTACTTGTTGGCATTTGATTGACTTTGTAATATTTCAACATGCTCACACACACTCACTTAATAGACCTAGCAGCACCTCGTAAACGTGTGGTGTTCAAATGTACTTGCAAAGTAACCGCAGCAACCATGTTATCATCAGCATCTATTGATACAGGTTAATTAATCATTGGTGATCATAACATGCATGTTAAGAGTGGCTAACACTTAGCATACAAGATTGTATTCACCCATCTGCTAACTCAGTGAGGCAGCATGTTAAGATGTTTATAAATTATTTCCAGTAGATATTTCTTTGTTGATTTTTGGATTGATAGTTTGAATTTTCTATTGTTCTTTTTTTTTTTTTATTCTTTGTTTGTGATACACAACCTCAGTGACCTCAAGGCCCCCAGCTAAGCTAATTAACCTCAGTCCTCTTCAGGGCCTTATAGAACGAGTCAGATCATTTCAGGACCACAAAATAAAAAATGTTCAATTATTTACTGTCTCAGTTGGGAACACTTTAAACGCAATGGTTGACTTTTCATTTCGTTTGCATGAATGTATAAGTAAGACTTGAAATACAAGACCCAAAGATGATGTCTATTCAGACCGCGGATTATTGCTCACCTAGCCAAAAAAAAAAAAAACATCCCGCTCTGGGGTTAACATGATTATGCCACTTATTGATTGTCCTGCTGGCCCGAGCCATGAGTTTGCTTTTCTTGGCTTGAGATACATTTTTACAAATAATCAACCTCCTTTGAATTGAAAATCCATAACAGAAAGAGTGAAGTTGATTTTTTTTTGCAGACATCGTTTTTACAAGTGTTCAAAATGACTTTTGGCCCCTTCACATCCCTCAGCAAAGGGATTTGTCCCAGCTATATTACAAGTGGGCACTGGGCAACACTGTATGGAAGAGTTTATTCACGTCTTTTCTAACAGGTTCATGGATTTTACTTGTTAAAGCGCCCCCTTAGCTGCAGAGTGTGAGTCATGTTTGCAATATGTTTGGGTTTTGAGTAGCAACACTGAAATGTAAAATCGATCTTGCACAGCTCAAAGCATCTGAACACTTGCATGGATGTCGTTTGGGCCCAAAGTGTTCCATCTTGCGGTTGCCTGAAGAGCCTGATGGGCGTGGATCTCTTTTTCACATGGGAGAACAAATGCAGACTTTTAAAGTTCATAGAAGCTTCCTCTGTCCTTGCATGTTTTTACTCTTATGCACAAGTTGGCTTTATTGCATTCTTCAGTAAAACAATATTGTACAGCAGGGGAAAAAAAACAAAAAAACATGAAAAATCACAGAAGCATAATAAAAAAAAAAAAAAAACTGCACTAAGGAGAGAGGCTCTGTGTGTGGGAGGCTGTGTGCATATGTGCAGGCTATGTGCCTGTGAGACTGTGAGCACCTGGAAAGCACTTGACAGATGGTTACTCCGGCTTGAGCTGAATGTTGCTTCTTTTTTCCCTGCGTTAAGCCTCTTTCATAAATCGAAAGTGTTTCGGTCAGCATTTTGATCAAGGTAGACTCTTTCAGTGCGTCTCTCGAGTATGTTTATCCTGCCCCAATCATTTTTTTTTTTTTTTTTTTTTTTTTTTGATTCAGGCGAGCTGAGGGAGATCAGAGCTGTGACTTTCACCGCTGCCTTTTCTGCCTCCCCCTTTTATGTTTGCCAGAAAGATTACAGAGCGAGGAATCAAAAATCATTATATGCAACATCATATCAGCAAATTCACAGTCTGAGTCTTAAAATGTAGCCCTTTATAGGAGACAATAAGGATTATGTATGGAGAAATGTGTGTCTTCAATCACAGTACCTACAGAACTCTACTCCTCCTCTTAAGAGCTTTAGTTAAGTTCAGTGGCTCCTCCATAATCATTAGCCTTATTGTTTCTCGATACGTAGACTTAGAGCAGTGGATAAGACACAAACTCTGTTAAAAGAGCCTCAACTTAACAGATACTGTCCACATCAAACATGCTAAAAATCATTCACAGTGCTGTCACCTCTGTGTGTGTCTGTTACCAGAGTTTGACCAAACAGGCTGAGGTGAAAGTTCTCCTCTCACTGTGCAGGCCATCAGGCTGAAACAATAACCATCATAACAGCACGCTGACAGAGAGACATGGCGTTCTTCAGGCTCACAAGTTTCTCTACCCTTTGAAAGGAGGGTCTTTTTTCTTCTTCTTTGTTTAGAGCAAATATTACATGAATTGCATGGAGTTTTTCATGGAGATTTACTATTCTTATTGTATTGCTTTTAAAAAAAAAAAGATTTCTATTCATATTTGTTTATTAACATGTTTGAACAAAAATATATCAATCAATCAATCTTGGTTTAAGATCAGTAAAGGTTTGTTGGATACTGGTTCTTTGAACTATTTCAAAGAAATGAGAGAATGGTTTAGAGATGCAGTGATTGTGGATTTTGAGATTTAGGAATTGAAGGAATTAATTTCGCAACACCACTGATGAATCACATAGAATCACATGACCCAAAAATGTAATCAAATTATCAAAATAATAAAGGTAATACAGTTCATCTCTTCCTTTTGAAGTGGACGCATTGTGGATCACCAGTTGGGTTTCCCCGCCTAAGCTGTTGCTGCCTTTTGAAGCATAAATAATAATTTAACATAGATAATAAATCACTATGAAAATAATAATACACACAGTCTGTGTCTCTTTGGTATTCAGTGTAAGCTCCATTTTAGCTATTTGTTTCCCTGTTAAACTAAGAAATGCAGCCAAAGTCTTCAACTTTTATCTGCCTGTTTTTTTTTTTTACATACAATGCCAGAAGTTTAGATCACACAGACGGGAGGAAGAAACGTTAAACAGTCTCTGATAAACGACACGCAGCATTACTGCTGTTTGTTTACTTCACACTGAAGCTAGACTGTCACTGCTGTTTGTTGTCAGTGACACGTTTATATTACATTCCTGACCAACTCGATGAGTTATTGAGTATCTTTCCACTAATGTATACTATCTCTGTAATTATGTATTTACATGTCAGTCGGGCGGGTGGTGCTGGGCGGTGATCTCTCAGATGCTGCATGCAGTTTGATGTGTTTGACAATTTAGCCGAAACTTTTTCCCGCTTGGTTTTGTGAACACGGGCTCAGTTGAAGAACTGAGTGGTCATTCTTGATGTACCCAAAATGCTCGTACACTGCCGACTTCCCTTGTTTCTCTGGTGGATACAAAGTTTTCCTGCTAGGCCCCTCTACTGCAGTGAAGCTAATGTAGCGCAGCATGATAAGGTCGGCACAATTAGCTGGTGCGCAACAGCTGGAGCCACTCTGTTGTCGTTCTGTGCAGGTTGCACCAAAACTTATGTTCCACTCCCATTTTTTGCGAGTGAGAATAAGAAAACGCGGTACAGCAGAGCCGCCAGGATTAATCAACCATAACGTTTTGAATCGTGGTTAGCCATACAACCGGGTAACCGCGTCATCCCAGGAATGGATGTGATTGCAACATTATTACCAAAATGATCCAGCCAAATATCACATTGCATTGTATTAACAAAATGTGTCCCTTTAATTCTTTTTGAGGATAGTATTTGAAGTCCCTTTGCACACTGACTTCGGTTTTAAATAGTTACTGTATTTCTTGAGAAATGTTCCCCCTAAATTTAGCATGCACTCTCTGCTGCAGCTGTTGGTGCCCTTTTTCATGCCGTGGGTAATAATCCTTAATATTCTTGCAGTTTGAAGCTAAATGAGCCTTTAATGCACTCTGATTCCATCTTCCAGCACTCATTAATTGTTTTTTGAAAGTCCATAAATTATTTCTGTTGTTCCTTTTTGAAGTTTAGCAAAGATAAACAGAAACTTTAATGGATGAAATGGAGGTCTTTTATTCTGTCACAGTCGGTTCTGATTAGAGCGATAGTTTGAAATGTCATTTTGAGGGGAAACTCGCTGAAGTGCTTTTCCTTGCCAGGAGAAACCAAAAGCCGAGAGCTTTTTTTTTTTCTTTTACCAGCTAGAACCTTCAACACTTGTGACCTTGTCATAACTCTACTTTTAAATTGAAATGTTTTTTGGAAAAACTAAATGTGTGGATGTGTGTTTTTACTGTTATCTCCTCACTCCTGTAATATGGCACACTTTGCAGGTGCTGCTCAGTCAGTGTGTTTGAAGCTTCATTACCAATCACCTCCTTTCCCCCCCCCCTTTTTCCTTGCAGATGGTCACAAGAACAAAGAAAATATTTGTCGGTGGTTTGTCGGCCAACACAGTAGTGGAAGATGTGAAGCAGTATTTTGAACAGTTTGGGAAGGTAAGAAAGATTTCTTTTAACCATCTTGTGCTGTGTTGTCGGGTGTGATTGGATAAGACATTGAAAGAACATTTGTTGTCAATTAGAAGAAAGTTGCTTGCCATAACAATTATTGGTTCCAGCTTCTTCTTCTTCTTCTTCTTCTTCTTCTTCTTCTTCTTCTTCTTCTTCTTCTTCTTCTTCTTCTTCTTTTCGTTTGATTAAAAGAACATGGTTTCACTTTAGGCTTTCTGCAAATAGGAGCTTTTCTCATAATTTATCTACATTTTGTGAACAAAAACAGATTGATTTAATGCTGTTTATTTGTAGCTGTACATGGACTGTTATAGATTGTTTTTGACGTAGATGATTATCTAAAATTAATAAAATAAAAACAACCAGATGTTATGGTTCGGTCCACATCAAAGCTGATGGGTACAGAGGCTACAGCCCTAACCATAGATGCCCCAGGGTCCGACTTTTATTTCCCCCCATATCTTTGACTCCAATGTCCCATCTAATACAGTGTAAGATCAAAAACATAATCTTAAAAAAAAAAAAATGAACACCATATTAATATCATTTCGATGACATCAAAGTAGTAGTTTCATCATTTAACTGATCAAAGATTCAGTTGTTTTGGAGTGTCTTCTTGTCACTAGTAGTAGTTGCGACAAAGACCACACGACGGGCTCTCCCATCTTAACAGCAGTCAGGAATATGAGCCTTACAAGAAGCCAGCTGCACCAGTTTGGCTCCATTCCCGACAGTAAGATAAATAAATATCTGTTGTGATGAGCAAACAGCTGAAGCTATGGCAGTTTCTGCACTCAGTCCACCATGGCTGGTCAACAACAACATGTAGTTTGCTTACAGAGCAAACAAAGAATGAAAAATGTCCAGACCCCTACTGCTAGAACAAAAGTCTTTTTTTTTCTCATCTGTGTTTTTATTATATAAGCAACAAATATAAGTACAAATAAAAAAAGGTATCGAATGATATTGAGTTTTATATTGTGGCAACATTTCATACCCAGCTAATTCTGCAGAGGCCTCATATTCAACGGTGTTTGTTCCCTCAGCACTTTCTGCATGCTGTTCTCCTGACCAATACCCCCAGCTGAGGGAGGCATATATGCACACAATATCATACAAGGACATGCATACACACACACACACACACACACACACTCACACACACACACATACCCGGGCGTGTGCTCAGGCAAACAGGCTTTGATACAGTGGCAGCATTTCACAGATAATTTCCCCACACCGAGCGCAGATCCATTTCCCTCATGTCATATTCCACATCAGTCAAGGTCACCTTCAGCTCATACACTCCCTGTAACATCAGCACTTGACCTTGAGCTTAAACAATTTCACTCTGGATGGATTTTTCATGGGCACATAATGCGCCATGTCCTGAAGAAGACAGAAGAGCTTCTATAAATTAATAGAATCCGTTATTTTGTTCTCGCTTCAGAGACAATATGCAACCAGCCCCTCTCCTATAAAAAGCCCTCTCTGTTGCTTCCTGACAGAAACAGGCAAGGTGAAGGACTTTGTTTTTGCTCTGTGCCTGTGGAAGTACTGTTGAAGACCCTACCATGGCTCTGTCCTGCCTTTTACAAATAAAGACAGCTTATTTGCACAATAAAACGCAGCGAGCAAGTATTCAGCACGACTTTGCAATCAATGGATCTGAGAAAGGGGCTCGAAATGATTTTCGACTTGATTGAATGACATAATTGACTTGATTATACAAAGTTTTTTCCGTCCTTGAGGAATCCTCAAATGCTTAGGAGGAAACAAACAAATCAGACTGATTGAGCAAGATCTTGTGCATATTTCTGTGTGTGCTTTTATAGCCCTACTTGTGCATGCTTGGATGTGTCTGCAGTACTGCTCTCGCCATGCGTGAGTGTGTCAGCGATTAAGTGTATTTATGTGGGTGCATGATTAGGGCTGTGTGTGTGTGTGTGTGTGTGTGTGTGTGTGTGTGTGTGTGAGCAGGTTTGAGAGTCTCCAGTAAACGAAGGAAATCAGAGTAGACTGTGTAGGCTATGTCAGACAAGATGCAGAGCAAAAAGAGGTGTCCTTCTCTCTGTTTTGTGAGTGTGTGTGAGCGTGTGTGTGTGTGTCGCTATTTTGCCTTACACATCCCTGGATTTATTAAATAACCTGCCTGTCACTGCAACCTGCCATTATCGCCACACACACAACACTCGGAGGACTTATCCACAGAAGGGAAAACCAATTAATTCAGTTTCCCCTCTGTAGATCTTGGTGGCAGAGTGTGTCTGTCAGTCATCAGTCTGTCTGTCTGCCTATTCACATGTCAAGGGGTACATTAGCCTGCACGGTTGCAGGGCTAGCAGCTATTCATTTATATTTCTGGGAAGTATGTTTTTGAAGCACTTATCAATCATCGGGGAAACTACAGCTTAAGGCAAAGGCAAATGTTCCTCCTCAGTGGGAACAAGCCATTTCGCTGATATTATTTAGAAAGTGCTGTGTGTGTGTGTGTGTGTGTGTGTGTGTGTGTGTGTGTGTGTGTGTGTGTGTGTGTGTGTGTGTGTGTGTGTGTGTGTGTGTGTGTGTGTGTGTGTGTGTGTGTGTGTGTGTGTGTGTGTGTGTGTGTGTGTGTGTGTGTGTGTGTGTCTGCAGTATAGGCCAATTAGCAGGATGTGGTCTACAGAGATGGCAGTGGTTGTGAGGGAAACAGCTGGTGTGGCCACAATTGGGTCACAGGTTCTGTCTGTAACCTCCAACACCTCCCATCACCTCCTCTCCCTCCCCTCCTCAGCCCCTCCCCTTTTGTCTCCATTCTGTCAGGGGGGGGAGGAGGAGGTGGCGTTTGTTATGGCGAGAGTCTGACAGCTCTCGTGCACATCAGCCTCCATGCCACTCTCCCAGCCGACACCATTAGGAAAGAGCACATGCCCGAGCCTGGCACAACTACAGAGGAACCACAGAACCCCCCCCCCCCCCCCCCAGTACAGGCAGAAGGTGTGCATTTGCAGTGATCGTGACAATCATTTGAACAGAACTCAAGTGTTGAAGTGTGGTGCTCTTAGGCCGATTCTAATGCATCTCAGACTCATCCCATTACCTGCCTAATAGTAGCCACATCCTGCCTTTTTTCTTCTCAGGCTGCACCTTAACCCTGCAAGCCAGATGAGACAATCTTATCAGCACTGCCGGGCCTCCCTTTATATTCAAGGACTCTTAACTCGGGGCTGCTGCTGTTTCTGTCAAATAAGGCAGTGAGTGCTGTTTGCACAATTTGTGCTATTGTGCATATTTATACCTCGCAAGAAAAGACAATTTATGCCTTCAGAGATGACACTTGACGGCTAATCCTGTTCTGCTTTTTAAATCAGATAATTGTATAATGTTTGTAGTATGCCAGCTATTTGCAGGTTTTTTTTCTTCTTGTAATCAAATTTCTGCCTTTTTCTGTGGCTAACAAAACAAGCAGGAAATCCCCCCCCCCCCCTAAATTTGCCTACAGAAGTTAAAAGTGGCATTATTATGCATAAATTATACATCATGTTGACTCCTTTAGAGACTGTGCTTGCTCTGAAGTCAAAGGTCAGGGCCAGTTGAAAACAGCAGATGTGCTTGCAGGGATTCAGTATCTTTGCAAAGTATTACACTTAGATTCTACACAACAGTAAAATTGTAAAATATAGAGACTTAAATACACGTTTTTGAATAAGGTGAGGTTTAATGAAGGACTCAAAATATCTATTTCTAGCATGCCATGCCATGAGCACCCATGTGCTCATTTTCTTTTGTTGATCCCATAAGTATTATTTTTATGCCATCCTTTTGTTTTCCAATGAGACCAAAACCTGTTAACAAAACACCTAACACCCTGAGATGTTCCACTGAGGCAGAGGTTGATTAAAGACAGAAGATGGTGTGATGACACCTTTTAAATTTGGCTGAGAAGAACCAGTAGAGCTCTGCCTGGGCATGAAAAGAGTTCTCTCCCCAGTTAAAAGCATAATTAGCCGGGTTGGCTAATGCTTCCTCATTGGTTTATTGTAATCGGCTTTGAGTACGTCTCATAGTGCCCTTATTTGGCTAAGCTCAAACAAGTCCTGTTCACGTCCTCCGTTTTTTTTTGTTTTTTTTTTGCACTCCTGTCCATGGGCCGAGCTTTACAGTGCAAGCCTCAAGCTGACTTTTAGTTTAATCAGAGCAACTTGCTTCCATGTCACTGGGCTGCCACAATCGTCCCTTTATGTCCAGCCTGTCCTGGTTTTCATGCTCCACTGGGCTAGAGCCAGATCCTGGAGGTGGAGCTGAATGGGAGGAGGAAGAGGAGGAGCTTAACCAGTTCACTGCCACTGGGCTCAGGACAGATAAAGGTAGACGCACAAAGGTCACTCCTGTCTTAGTCGAGCAGAGCAGTCTCACGTCCTGGGATGAGACAGGAGTTTCAAGGGAAAAAAAACAGAGATAACATCTGTTGGAGGGCAATGAAAAGATATCAAAAGAACTTCTATTATGTAAGAGGATATTATCAGAACATATATGAGGCCAGCCTACAGCAGCTGCAAGCTGTCCCTGTTGCGTTTCACCTCTGGCCCAGCAATCTCTGGATACTTCTCTCATGCTTCCACTGACAGGAAGCAGATGAGAGGAAATTATGACAGCATCAAAAAATTAAAAAAATATGCCTCGGTTGGGGCATGAAATTTGTTCTGGGGCCTTGGTAATCAAATACCACGGCTGACATTTTGCACAGCCTTAGATTTTATAAATGGCAGAAAAATAACTGTGAGACCGACTGTAAAGAAGACAAGAATTCATTTAAGATACCTGCACAAGACCTTTCCTCTTCGACTGCGCTAGAGAATTTCAGATATTAACAGCTGTTCTATCAGTGGCACACAGAATGATAAAATCACTTTTATTTGACCCTTTCCATTTAGGACGAGCTAGTAGACTAACCTGTTATGGTATTAGTGAAATAAAGTCGTGTCCCTCTCAGAATGTGCCTTTTG